TATTATATAAATTAATATCAAAACTGAAATTATACAAAACAAACTAAAAGCAATTTTTCAAATAATTTTTTTAAGACACTGAAAAATAAAAGATTTTATCATTATAGTTCTTTAAAATAATTTTTAATTAGAAATAATAAATAAATCGTTTAGAAATCATCACAGTCAGTACTATTTTTCGAACGTTAAACATAAAAGCTTTATAACAAAAATAATTTCTGAAATCTATCTATTCATTAATACAATATAAAATACAAATAAAATATTGAATATTATCATACCTTACATTATAGATAAGTTTTAATTAAATATATATTTCAGAAAACAATTCCAAACATTTATGCATTTAAATATATACTTTAAATATATTAATTATTTTTGTTGAAGCCTTGATTCATATCTATTAAGTTGTACATGACTAAAAAATAGTTTAATATTGTAATATAATAAAAATTAAAAAGGATCCCTACAAATAAAAACGTTATAATGTGCAAATATCTTCTGTATTTATTTAAGCTATTATTTTAGGGATACGAGAGAAGGGAAATCTCGCGGATTGTGATTGCGCAACAAAAGGGATAATGTATTCACACATGAGAAACACATGAATACCGTCGTTTAGATATTTAACATAACTCTATATTATCCGTCAACTTTTATATATATATTTATTATATATTTTTTTATATATTATATATTATAAAATTTAACTCCAAATTGCGATAATAACGTCTAATTGCAACGTGCGTGCGCGTGTACGTGTTGCGCCTTATTGTACGCATGTGTGTATCGAGTGGATGTCTTTCGTATTGTGTGTGTGTGTGTGTGTGTGTGTGTGTGTGTGTGTGTGTGTGTGTGTTAGTTTGTGTAGTAGTAAGTGTGTGTGTGTGTGTGTGTGTGTGTGTGTGTGTGTGTGTGTGTGTGTGTGTGTGTGTGTGTGTTGTGTGTGTTTGTTGCTCTTGAGTAAAGGAGATAGAGATGTGAGCGAAGAAGGGTCGTAGATGGTATGTCATTTTTTTTTGTCAATCGCGCGTAACGTGACTGTGTACGTGTTTGATCTACAATTAAACGAATCCTACGCACTTACTCGTTAATCGGCAGAATAATATGCATTCTCTTAATTTTTCGCTATAAGTATATGCAACCGTCCGAAAGCGTGTCAGTCGGCGCACCGTGACGAATTCGCCGTCGCTCTCGTCGATCCTTTTTCGATTGCGTTCGAGTCTCTCGGATGCATATTAAGACTTTCATCTGCATGCTGTTATGTAAACAAGATCGTAACAATCTCGTTAAAAATAATGAAAAAATAATTAGCTTCTTCTACTGAATAATTTCGTCAGTAACAATAAGATTAATTAAAAACGTTTAATATAAATGTGATGCTTGACACACAAACTCAAATAAGTCAAATTGTCCCGTTTTTCAGAAGACACAAAGTCTGATTTTCAAATAGAATATAGTATTAAGTTATCAAATTCAGCATTCAATTCAAAAATAAATAAATTTCAAAAATAAATCCGACATCCGAGAAAGCAACTTGTCCTTATTTATAGTAAAAAATATTATCATTAATTTGTTGTTAAATATGTACAAATGATATAAAATAATTAAAGCTTTTTGTGATGTTTAGTCATTTCACCTTTCATTTGGAAGGATTTATAAAAATAGATTTAATATTTTTTACTATCTTCGATCAATATTATTAATATTACATTAAATTTTAAATTTACTTAAATTAAGTAAATAAGGTAAATATGTGAACGCATAAAAAACATAAGGATATAAATATATTTATAAATAAAAATTTATATGTTAGAATAACATTGTCTGTAATATATGCATCCGAAAGTTATTTCTCCCTCATTTATTTATAATCTTATTGTATAATTGGGATCGCGCAATTCTGGTGTTATTTTATTCTAAAACTATTTTAAAATAACATTTTGTTTTGTATAAGAAGTAAATCTTTTCGAAAGAGATAATAAAGAAACTTTATGCTCACTTGTCTCAATTGAAAGTTTTGTGATAATTTCATATGTTATATATAATAATTATTTTGTTCAATATCAATTGAAAACTAAAGTCTTACATGTTTTATTCTGTACTGTCCTGATAATGGCTTTGAGATTTGAAATTTTTTTTGAAATTTTTAAACAATTACTTTATGACTGGAAGAAGTCATATAACAAAAATTTAAATATTAAAATATTCGAAACATCAAATATAATTTCAGAGTTAAAAATTCAGTAAATTAAAAAAATAAAATTAATGTTAAATTTAAGATTCTAAGATTTGAAAAACTAGAAATCAATCATCAAAAGTTAAATTTTTATAATTAGTACTTCTTCTAATTTTTTGTAATTTTTTGTAAAGTTTAACAGAATGGAATATTGACATTAAATTAACGTATCATATTAATGAGCAATTCTAATATTATATTATCATATTAAATATTCATTGTAAAGTTTACTTTAACATTAACAAATAAACAATAATTTATCTAATGATTATAAAATCATTTTATATAAATTGTTATTTAAATTGTTTGAATCGTCCCAATGTGGAATTAACACTCTTATTATGCAATATCGAAAAGATTAAAATATATAAATACGCAATAAAAATTGTACTATATACATATAAAGTTAACAGCAATACATTTTCAACACTTTCGCGACCACTGATATT